CATTCTTGTAGAATGTTTTCTACTACAACCACATTAATATATTATGGTTAGTTATTGAGTTCCCCGTAGAAAATAACAACTCGTGTATCTTTCCTTAAAGGATGCAATGACAATGTGGTTGCCGCATTGATACAAAATATTGAGATGTTAACGATATTTCTCCTTGAAGGAGATATTTGTCACAAATTTAGTGGTAGAAATATTAAAATTCTTAATTTTGGTCATTTATAAATTTAGAATTGGCTTTATATTGTTCATTTGATTATGATTTTCTCTCATGACACTAGAAGTGTCTGAGCAATATTTGTAGTACAAAATTTATCAAAAACTCCTTAAGAGCTAACTGTTTGTCTAAAAGACACATGACACCAGTAGTGTCTGATAGTGGATAATAAACGAAGGTTCTCGAAGAGCTTATATACAAATATATCATTCATATTATATGATTATGGTCAAAACATATGTTGTAGTAAACCTGAAGTTTACCAATACAAATGGCTATCATATTGAAACTACAAATGATTGGAAGATTAAAAATCTTCATATTTCCACGATCATAGGGGGTAAAATATTATATATGTGAGAAGTTACCCGCCTTATTCTTTAATTTGTACTATATCATGTATCACAGTAAATCAGAAGTTTACTAAAGCAAAAGCAGTCACAGTAAATCAGAAGTTTTACGGAGGCTAAAGTAGCTACAGTAAATTAGAAATTCGCTGATACAAAAGTAGCCACAGTAAATCAGAAGTTTACTAATGCAAAAATTTATGCCATAGTAAACTAGAAGTTTACTAAGAGATAGCACGTGCCATGATAAACTTGAAGTTTTCATTTGCCATTTTTAAATGAGCTATTTGAGAATTCAGATAAGCATAAACTGAAGAACTAGAAGATTCTTCAAGAATTCTCTTGTGATGCTTGTTCTCATAATAAATTGATTATACCAGCTAAAGTTGGGATTAAGACCCCTGATTCTGAAATATATAAAAGGTGAATATGGGCCCATTCACCTATCATGTGAACCACTTATAGATGCATATATGAGATGGTTACATGTGTAATTATTGTCAACCTGCAGTTTGGCATTTGGAATTTTTTTTCTCGATTAAGAGCATAATTTTCAGATTATAAAATCAAGACAGTTCGTCTATATAATGTTGGTTTATATCCAAGCTGGTTTAGCACTGAATACCTCTTATTAATGGCTAAACCATTGCTTATGAGAACAAAGCTTCAAGTAATGGTCTAAGATTTTCTAAATTGCATGTAACAACACTTGTATGCATCAGACCAACAATATATGATAAGTCCTCCCCTCACAATTGGTTTAGGATCAGAAACCAAATATTTTTACTATCTTTTGCCGCGTGATATATGATTAATTTCTCTACCATAATACACAAAGATATGTTTCCCAAAGATGATTGGGGATATATGTTAGTTTTCTTAACATTTGGGGGATGGAATAAACATCTGAAAAATATGCTATATGAATCGAATTATCATTAATGATCCTCACTTAGAAGATAATTCAAGTCGAATGCCAGAAGCATTTGCTGATCCAAAATTAAATATCATATTTTAGCTGCAAATGCTCCTACTAAAATTAAAGTCCCTGAAGGATAAAGTTTACTACACGCATGAAGCGTAGTAAATCGATTGGTTCCAAAGGTAACAATCCTTGAAAAGGATAGGAGCAAATGATCAAAATGATCATAATGAGGAGGAAATGAGCTCTAGAAGAGCCCATGACATAACATTTCATGAAACTCCAGAAGAAGCTCAGGTACTTGAAAATAAAGAAAGTAATGAGATCTCAACAAGGTATGTCACTTGCAAACCGATATGAAATGATCGTCGATGATATATTTGATACAATATAGTGCACAATATTGTAAAAGATTGTGAGGATCGGACCAGCAGTCCAGACACTTGAAGATGTCATACCATTTAGATACAAGCCATAACCTATATGACTTATTTGATTAAATCTATATGAAGATCCTTGAAGGATTTAAAATGCCTGAACCATATAATTCAAAGTCTTGAGAAATGTACTCGATCAAATTATAAAGATATTTGTACGGTTTAAAGCAATCTGGGCGCGTGTGATATAATCGCCTCAGTGAAAAGTTACATAAAAAAAGTTACATAAATGATGTTATTTGTCCATGTATTTTTATAAAGAAAATGTCATCAGAATTTGTTACACTTGCTGTTTATGTTGGTGACATAAATCTTGTTGGAACTCCAGAAGAGCTCCAAAAAGGCAATTGAATATCTTGAGAAAAATTTGAGATGAAAGATCTTGGAAAAATAAAATTTTTGTCTTTGGTCTGCAAATTGAATATTTAGCAGACGAGATCTTTATCCATCAATTTGCCTATACAGAAAGGATCTTTAAACGCTTTTACACGGACAAAGCTCACCCATTAAGTACACTAATGGGTGTTCGATCACTTGAAGTGAACAAGGACTTGTTCCGACCTCCAGAAGAGGATGAGGAACTCCTTGGTCCTGAAATACTCTATCTCAGTACAATTGTTATGCATTTATGTATCTTGCTAATGCTAACAAAGGTGGTGCAGATCGTATTGGTTATGCAGATACAAGATTAGAATGCGGAGACTCAAATATTTGAAACAAGGTTTTCATCAGGGGGAGTAAAATACGCGATGCACTCTTTTTTCCTTACTAAGGTTTTTTCCCACAGGGTTTTCCTTATAAGGTTTTTAATGAGGCACCTAGGATTTTCCTTCACTAGGATTTTTTCCCACGTGGTTTTTCCTAGTAAGGTTTTAATGAGGCACATTATCTCTTAATGAGTGTTATAAATATATTATATTATGGATGTTCATTTAGTACTCCATTGTAAATAAGCTTCCTGAAGAAGCTTATCCATATGGGACTCCGCTGTAAATATGTTTATCTATTTAGTACTCTATCAGAAATAAGCCTCCTGAAGAAGCTTATCACTTCGGTGCCAGGTTATGGATAAATATTACCCTCGGTAGAAGATTATCCATACCGGGTATAATAAGTTTATACTTACGATACTCCGTTATGGATAAATATTACCCCCAGTAGAAGATTATCTATACCTGGTATATAATGAGTTTATCCTTTCAGTACTCCGTTATGATGGATAAACATTACCCCCAGTAGAAAATTATCTATATCTGGTACAATGAGCTTATCCTTTCAGTACTCCGTTATGGATAAACATTACTATCGGTAGAAGATATCCATATCTGGTATAGTAGCAGCTTACACAGCAGCTTGCAGTAGCAGCTTACACAGCAACTTGCAGTAGCAGCTTACACAACAGCTTCCTTTCTTCCATAAATAGAAGAGATTTCAGTTCATTATCTACACCAGTTTGAAATTGAACAATATCAATCTCTCTCTATACTTGTATTCGATTTATTTACTTTACTGTCGTTATTTTATAACAAATATCCAGTATTTATCCTCTTTTTGTAACGTGAAAGAATCTATCGATCATTAAGAAAAATGCTTGTTTTTTCTTCCTTTAATTTTTCTTTGTTTCTTTTCTCCCTAAATCCAACATTAGTAGCTCAAGTGATACTTTTGGTATCAGGGCATTGAACCAATGGTGGATCCGCCGCGTGAAACTACTGATGGAAGAGTGAGCTACAAACTTAGAGCTTCAGCTTCAGTCGTTTATGGAAACATCGACTAAACGTATGGAACAAATGGAAACAATGGTGAAAGATATCCACCGGAGAGAAGATTCTCGGGCAGTTTCAGCTGTTGTTATTTTGACAATTTGATGATTGTTTGTTCTTTATGATATTTGAAAGTTATGTTTTAAATTTGAGTTCATTTGGAGTAAGTTTGGGCATTGCATCGTGTGTTAGATTGTTGAAATTCGAAGAAAAAATTTCTGTTTCAGAACTCAAGATTTGAAATGTGAACGTTGCATTGAAGATGTTGAACTACTTAATTAAGATTTGGATTTTCTGAAGTTGTATTTGAAAGATAGAAAATTTAAAATTTGATTCCTAAAGTTGCGTTGAAGAGATTGAACTATTTAAGATTTAATTTTTTGAAGTTGCATTTAAAAGATAGAAGAACTTAAGATTTGATTTTTGAAGCTACATTGAAGAGATTGATGAACTACTTAAGATTTGAAATTTATGAAATTGCATTTGAAAGATAGAAGAACTTAAGATTTGATTTCTCAAATTGCATCAAAGAGATTGAACTACTTTAAATTTGGATGATTTAATTTTGTAAATTTTTATATAACGAGGGTATAACTTCAATAACGACCACGTAAGTAAATATCGTATGGGAATGCCCCAAATAACGTCAGTTTGTGTGGTTGGCCCCTCTAGGGACAGGATTCTTAGCTCAAGTCTTCTTCTTAGACGACCTACAATTAATATTTAGTAAAGTAATTTGTTATACTAGTAAATTCAATCAAACAACTTTAAAATAATGTAATTAGGTTGTCATCAGGGCGGATTCACGATATAATATGTGGATTAAGATAACTCAGTAGCTTTTATTTAGGTATTATATATGTATTAAGAAATTTATTAAATATTCATAAATATTTGATTGCAAACTTAATTATTACTGTATATTACCTTAAAACCGTCCTAAAATCCCATAAGCTTCAAATTTTAAATCTGTCTTATCATAACCAGTCAGCATATATGATAGTATAAAAATTCTGTGCGCGTATACGCTAATTTCTTTTATGTAAACTTTCTTAAAAGCTTGAGGGACTACTTATGTTATGATCATAAAGTAGGAGTCTATATATATATATATATGCTGGTTTTCGACATGGCTGCTTACTTGTCTTTTAATTTTTGTTTAAGGGCATTTTGGACCTTTAACAGAATCTAATAAAACGTGTCCTTTAAGCATCAGTTCTTGCACTTAATCACTTAATAACGAAACACGTGTTTGTGATTTTCAGTTAAGATATGTGTAATTTGAGATTGATACTTTCTATTTCGAAGCTGAAAAGCCACGTCTTTTCTATTTTCTTTGGTTCCACGTCTTTTGCTCCGACTTAAACATTGCTGTATTGTTTCTTGCTACTTCCTCTCTATTCTTTCCATGTTCTTCGTTCTTCTTTGCGGGTTTTCCCTTTGCGTTTGCTTTGCACACATCTATCTTCATCTGTTTTTTGATTTCAGCAATCCAAGATGTAATTATCGGGGACAACTTCAGTACTGAAGATCTCAACTAAGGTAAAATACTATTCTTAAGCCCTTGTACTTAAAGGGAGGATCATAAACCCTATCCAATAAACACTTCAGCTTACCTCTATGTTTTATGGCAAAAAGTTTTGATTGGGGTGTTTTTGTTTCTTTCGTGTTTAGTATATGGTTTTGAATTTCTCATATTAATTAAGAATAATTGTTTAATTTAATGCTGAAGAAAGACCAGACCTTATAACCTTCTCAAAGTGAGCTTTCCAATCCGGCTATCCCAGTCTTGTGCTCTCTCCTGTTGGAGATTTTCAATATATTATTAGAACTGGATATGGATTTGTAGTTAGTTTTTGTTGAATAGACTTCGGGACTTCACTGAGAAGACTCAAACATGACAAAAATGTTTATCACAGATTTTGAGGAGGTTTCAGCCTTTCAGGTAAGGTTCATCTCATATCTTAAATGAAATAGAGACTTGGGTTGTTATATCCCATTCGTCGTCTTCTCTTAAGATTTAGAAGACATGAATGGTGCTTCTATTTTCAGAAGTTCAAAAAATATCACATCGCATAACTACGTAAATATCTGGTATGATAGCCACCGCACCATCTTGCTTTTCTTTTCCACCTTTCTCTAAAGTGCTCTACATTTCATCTTCTCGTATGATTGCAACGCCATTTATGCCTATTTTCTCTCTGCTATTTACTCTCTGTAACTTTTCTGTTGTTCAGTCCTTTGTTTGTTTGTGAATGCTTACAGTTTCAGCTTGCATATTGCATTGGAACTTCAAGCTATAGGTATGCGCACATATCTTCTTCTTTTTCTTGAATTTTTTTTTTGGGGTCAGCTTTTTTTGAGTTCTCTCCATCCTTCTTAGTTTTGCTATTTAATGGATGTAGAAATCCTTCATCTTCACCCCCAAATTACTGTTTCTTATATCTCTCTATCTCTCCTTTTTTCCCCCTTTTCCCATAAGCTTCAGCCACATGCAATAAAATATTCATTCTTGATTTCTCTTTTGTGAAGCCTAAATGCTTCTCGGTCTCGGCTTGATAATGGTATTGATCTAGGTGTTAAGCCTAATTAAGTAGAAGAACTTTTATACTTTCTGATTTTGCGATTTTATGGTTATTTTGCTATAAATTGGAGAGTGTTATTTGAATAACTAACTGTAAAGAAGCATATCATGTTAGTAATTTCATCTGCTTTAGGCTTCTTGCTCACGATTTGAATTCTTTTTTAAAAAAAAAGAGAAGAATTTTGTCTTCAAAATGCTAAAGAAACAGAAATTAGATCTCTTCCAGCGTGGTAGCGATATCTAGGACCAAGCTAGCAGTTATTAGTCGTTGTATGCAAGGCCTGCCACAATCGCTTAAATTGGTTTAATTTTTTATCTTTCTCAGTCTTTTGGTTGGAGTTGCCTAAAACTTTGTTATTTTATTGTGTTTTATTTTTATTATTGTTGCAGTTTCTGCATTCCAGTGTGATACTTGTGTATCCGTGTGTTTGTGAAGCATTTCATAGTGTGGTATGTAATGCTCTTCTACTCCTTGATCTCCTTAATATTCTATGTTGTTGAATGTTTATGTATGTTGTATTTTTTACCTTTGTTCTTTAGTTTTATGATATGTGTATGCATGTTAGTGACTATAATATATGTTGATGTATGCACATTAATCAATATTAAAATATACTCAATAACGTTAAACATGTTATTAAAATTTCATGTTCAGGAATGAAAAAGTATTGCTGAAATATCGGATAGAAATCTGAAAAATGATCAAAACTTCGAAAAAGTACATTCCACGAAAAGGCTAGGCGACACGAATTATATAGAATGATGCAAGATGATAAAATAGAGGCTCTCTTAACACGAGCACGAGCAAACAAAGCTGAATCGAGTGGATGACATCTGGTTGTCAGTTGAGTTATGCATATGATTTTTCAGTTCTCTTCATATTCTTTGGTGTAATTATTATATGTATGTGATTATTTTTTTAATGCCTCTACGAATATTTTTTTCCGTAGGATTGCAGACTCCTACATTATTGGGATCACTGAATTATCATTTAGAACAAATATAGTTACGCAGCAAAGGAGAACTTCAATGCAGCCAAGTTGTTTGACGTATGAGTAAATTTCTACAGTTAAATACCTATTTCATCCATGAACCTAAACTTCAAACCAGTGGAACATGGAGATTTTCTTTTGTTTGTAAGGTTAGTATGCAATTGCTTTATATGGAACTTCAGTTTATTTTTGCATTCTTCTCCATAACTTCACTGGTACTTCTTCGTCTCCACTATACATCTCCAGTTACCTCTTACTTTCCTCAATTGAGTGATCCTGAAAATTTCGCCTCAATTTGAAATTTCTAAGGTTAAGCATGAACTCTTTATTTAACTTTTGTCAGGTTAACTTCCATGTGAATGCTTTGTCCATTGATCTGAGAAAGATAGCGATAATCCTTCGAATTTTTCTCTCTTATCTTCCGAAGACTAAGGTTCATGCCTTTTCTTTCAAATGGTAAATATTTGAGTTTACTTGATTATTTTGAAATTTTGTAGTAGCCTTATCTATGATTTTTTTTGGAAGTTCAGTTGAGTCGACGAAATAGATGACTTTTAATTGTTATGTTTAGGTTTGTCTTGCATTTTCTTATTAATCACAAAAAATATTTTTCTTCGATGTATAATAAGTAGTTAGGTGACTCCCACAAAGAGTGTTCTCATATGCTATAAATTACTGACTATGATTTTATCTTCCCAATTTTATTTAATTGCCTAGCATGTTAACTGGGGTTCGCTATACTTTAATTACTAAGAGAGGTTTAACTGAGAGAGAAATTCGAAAATATTTCCTCCCGTATTAATTTATGTGGAACACAAAACAAGGCTCTCTAAACTACTAAAGAAATTTTGTGTTCCTACAATCTGTCAATTTAAGAATTTCTTTCATTATAGATGTCAGAAATATTATTTGAGCCTCAATTGAAGAAGATAGGGCCATTCTGCTAGAAGTATCATTATTTCTCCTAAATTTATGGGATTTTTCTAATGTTAACCTTTTAAATTAGACGCCTAGAATTTTTATCTTGGTCTCAGTTGAAGAAGAAATTACTCATCCTACAAGAAGGACCTCTATTTTTTCCCAAGTTTCCAGATTTTTCCAACTCTTCAGATTTGTCCTTGGTTCAAGAGGACATAATTGGAAGAAATGCTATCTTTTAAAAAGAATTGCTAGTGTCTTTTGGTCTCAAAATTTGATTCTGCACGAATACATCTTTATCTAGGGCTCATTGTGGTCGTATTGGGCGCTGCAGTAAGCCATCATGTTTTTGCATAATATATGTGAGAGGTGACGGTTAACATAAGATAGTAGCACAACAGATAAAACTTGCTGGTAGGTTCTTTCCTTTTTAAGTGAAAAGATATTTTTTATCCGGTCTATTTGAAATATTGCATTTGTTGGTTAATATAAAAGCTATGTTCTGTATTTTGTTTGTATTAAATAGTGCATGATTAACCAACCTAAATGTTATACCCAACTGCCAATAAAGTGGTGACTCTATAAGTTGTGTTCATACATTTTTATACAGTATTTTGACCCTGATAGTATTTGCAAAGTTTCAATCTTATAAGTACTATCGCTACTACTATTAGCATTACTTCAAAATTTTAAGCTGATTGCAGGTACCCGAGTTATAAATTATAATTTTATAATTAATATGAGTAGTATATACCAGTGCACAAACATGCCATTTGCATCTTTTCCATCTCAATAGAATTATGATTCTCGCTTCACCCTGATAGGCTGATATACACAATGTTGATATGAATTTGAAACTTGAGGGTATTGGGCAAAAAGTTTTATTTTTCAATTTATTGGAGCCACTTACTGTTATTGTAGGCAATCACTTAGTTGCGGTGCTGAAATTATATTTCTAGCTGAGGTAAATTGTTGTCATTGTCAAGTGAGCGAAGATAACAAGGTCAGAGGGGAGGATCAGTCAATGGAAGTGAGGAACTTTCTCCTCACTTTGATAGGATAACAGCGAATTCTGAAGTTGGCGGCATGCGTCCAGGAAAAAGTGGTGAGGCCATGAGGGATATTTGGACAATGACACAGAGTATCACTTAGAGGAATCACATGGTGATAGTAATGCTTTGGAGAGCCCGATGGATCTTAAGCTGAGTTTACAAGCTTTTTTCCATGCAATTCAACAGAAATGACATCCTCATCATCACCATAATGCCTTTGGAATCCAAGATACACTTGGCTCTCCCGCGCCGTGCTCTATATATTCTGGAAAAGGTTTAACTTATATACATTGACAGTGCAAATGATGTTTAGCAAATACTATAAACAGATCAGAAGCATGTCTAATATTTAACTACTTTTCCATTGACAGTATCGTTTTTTCTTTTTATTCATCTTCCTGAAGCCATTTACATGTCACAACAGTGTGGCTGATACTCTTGGATGTGGAAGCCCGAAGAATGGTGATGTTATTTTCGTATCTATTTGCACAAGGCTCCAAAAGAGTAGAATTAGTTGGATGGATTTGCGATACCGTCAACATTGTTGTCTTTGCTCCTCCTTTAAGCACAAGGTATGCTTTGAAACCTTCTGTATATTTTGTGAAAAGTTGGATTGGAAAAAGAGAGAAAAATAAGGGAGCAACTTAATTTCTTTTTAATGATATTTTTATCCAGAAAATTCTTTAAAAGAAAAAGGAAGAGTTGACTTACATTGGGGCTAAGAACATCATAGATGACTCAATATTACCTGTAAACTAAAAGAAACAATAAGCAGTAAAGGTTAGTTAGAGATTAATAAGTTCAAAATCGTAGTGACTAAGTTAATTAAGGTGCATTTACGTACCAAAGAGGCCAAAAATAAAAGCTATTTTTTTAACACTTAACAGTAATATTATTATTTTGTGAAGCTCTTAAGGTGAGTTATACTAACAGCTTGTTTGGATGGTTGTTACGTATCGTTTCATACTGTATTGTATTGTATTGTACTGTATCGTTTGATGAATACAATGTTTGGATGGATTGTGTCGTTTTGGCGTCGTTTCATGGTATCACGCACCTGTGATATGATGAATAAACTTGCAATATTATAAAGAAAAACTATGATACGGTATATAAAAAGGTAAGATAATGATAAAATAAAATTATTTAATAATAATGAAGGGTGAGATTGAGAAAAACATAAGGAAACGATGCGACCACGCTAAATCGGTCGTTACATAAAGTGGCACATTTCATCGTTACGTAACGACGGATTTAACGATACGATACAATAAAATTTAAGTAACAATCAAAACAAATATTGTATTTAAAGTAACAATACGATACGATAGGTAACAATCATCCAAACAAGCTGTTAGTTGGAGGATATACTAAAGGGATTTGAAGAAATTTTGTGCATATGCTTTTATAGTGGAAAAATAACAGCAAAACAAATCAAAGAACGAAAATTTGGTAAATTAATATCGCAGTAGCCGTGACGAGGAAAAAAAAGAATTCGACAAATTAATAAGTTATCATGAATGTTTGGCAAGAATGGCGGTATCCATTTGGGTTTCTAATTGGCTTAAAGGATGTACAATGTGATGCATATGCATCCAAATTGTGCAGAGTTGAGCACACATCTAGCTTTACACTTTTCAATGACGGGAGGGAGGGAGGGAGTGGCAGGGGGAGGAAATAAATGAAAAAAAAGCATTGTGAATTTATCTTGGAAGAGTCTGTTTGACAGCTGTTGGCTAACACTCTGATCTAGCTTAATAACTCATATATTGCGTGAATCCTATTGAGCATTGACCCTTGTAGGAGGCAAGAATGTCGTTAAAATTAAATTTAGCAGATCTCATGGATTGTAATTTGAAAGGAAAATTATCTTGATCGTTCTTAATGATCTTTGCTAGAGTCCCCTCCTGGTGCAGACTTCTTGGCTTACGCAGATGTTGGTGAGACCTGTCAAATGAAATAACAGATGCTAACTTCATCTCTGTCGTGATTGCTGAATTCACCCATGCGAATACTGAATGTTCTATTTTGCATCCTCTTATCCTACCAGGATAAGGCTACATACAATAGACCAACCATTAAGAATCAGGTGCTTATCTTACTCCATTATATTCTGGAAGTACTGCAACTCCCCTTCACAATATTTTTCTTCCAATGTGAAAAACAAAGAATACTGCTAGATTTATTTTTGGCACTCTTCTAGATTTTTTTTTCTTTTGATTGATTCGTATTTACTAGCATTTTATAGGTGCTCCAGAACTTATCCTCACGTTGTGGTTTTTGGAGTGGCAAGGTTAGCTATTAGACTGACGAGACGAATTCAGACATGAACTGAGATGTGGTTATGATGTATTTGCAGATATTTTCTCTATATTTTTGATCATATGGCTAAATATAGAATGATTATGGACAATTTACCAATGTCCTTTTGCACAAGATGAGAGAGTATCATATTTCCTCTCGGCACATGTATAGAAAATTGTAATGTATGTCAAAGAAAAAAAAAAATAGAAAATAATCATTCCAACTCTCACAATATTGAGCCTGTGCTGGCATGGGCCATCAATACCTAGTATATAAAGTAGTAGTAGTGTAAAACAATTTTACTAGAAGGATTCAAAATATAAAGAATTACCTATACAAAGAAGTCAAATAAATTCAAATATATTATAAAGTGTAACTTTTCACAATTGGACGAGGATGGCTCTGCCACACGATGCTCTCCCACTTTCGTGTGGCTGGTACATATTTGGAGTGGGCGGACTGCGAGTGGGAAACTTACACAAATGTCCCAAATAAATCTTACCAACCTCTAGTCATTAGTCATAGACTTACCAAAACTAGCCAACAAAAATTGAAAAATCAAATAATAGGATTCTTTCTCTCAAAGAATCACATGCAAAAATCACCTTCCATATTTTTAAGCGTGATTAGCAATATCAGATACAAGACGGAAAGGAAATTTCATGGACGGGGTAGCAAATAAGGTGATGAAATACAAAAATCTATACAATGTTTCGAAAACCTAAACAAAAAAAGGAACTTTTTCAATGGGTATAGTTGAAATTCATTGAAAATATATAGAAAAGTCAATATACAAAATTTGAGGAAGATTGGAGGTGATTTGGACTGGTTTTGTATCAAAATTCGTAATTAAATCGAGTTTAAAAAAGTCTTCTGTGACACATGTATCACGCATGTATCACGCATGTATCACACACACAGGTATACATGGATATACATGTGATACACAATTGATACACAAATGATACATACACATATCATTTTTTTTCATGTTCAGCTTTTACTTCGAGTTTTCAATTCAAACCACCTCAAAACTTCACCAAATCATCCCAAAACTCAGATTCAAGCTCCTTAAGTTGTGCTCAATCTATTCTAATAACACCCGCTTAAAACAAAGTAAAAATTTGATATTTTTTGCTACAAATAGTTAATTGGCTAATTTGGCTAATATTAGTAATATTTTATCAATTGGCCAATTTTTATAATGAGCTACTTATAAATAGACATAGCTGGTAATTTCCCTAAACTTTTTTCTTAAAATAAATTACAGGAGTGAGCGAGTCGACGCGGTTTCTCTTCCACCAAAAGTTGGAAAAGCCTTGTTCATTTTGGAGGCCCACTTCCACTTATTTAAAAGCACAAGTGGGCGTGACAATCCAAACGATATCCCTATGTACTACATCATTTTAGGATAATTCTTCATATGTTTTAAGGCATTCCTATCAAATAGTATGAATATTTTATACAAAATTCTCAACTTATGATGAATTATTTGTGTTTGAGTAGTACCTCGTCTTGATAAATTATAAATCTTATGCTATTATAACATAGGACTTTCTTAATTCCATTTTTATATTTGAAAGTAACCATTTGGGCATAATTGTTATTTCAATATTTGTAAATACTGAAATTTACAATTTGTAAATATTAATTTGATCATGAGCAATATATGCCCCCCCCCCCCGTAACCCCAAAAACCAA